TTATGTATGTCACTCAACAAATAGCTTCTGTATATTAACTGAAATAGTCTCACCAAAAATACTACTCTATCATCAGGTATTATCTACATCCAAGGAAATATCTTACATAAACTGAAAAAAAACTTTTTGAACATCGTTCGCAGTCGGATAACCCCAAACCATTTTCAGAGTAGATTTCACAGCTACTTCACCAATACCTGTTTTTTCGTACCAAAGCCTATCGATACTCAGAGTGAACAAACAAACACATGCATACTGCATCAAGCACAAAACGTACAAACGCCGTTCAATGTAAAGTTTACATGATAATGTTAAAGGTGAAAATCAGAGTTAATAAATATTTCGAAAAATGCACTGTTGATCGTAATCAGGAATATGGATTTCGGAAATGTCCACCAAAGAAGTAGCGAGAAGTAAAAACCAAACGTTCGGTTTTTGATAAATTATGATAATTAACGAAGAAAATGTGGTGAGAACACTGATAAGTTAGCAAGTAAATGTATGCATCTACGTGAGTTTATGATAATACCCACTAAAGAATACTGCCTACGGTGATCCCCTCACATTGCGCCATGCAATCCCATTTATGGTCACTCTTTATCGTGAACCAATCAAAGTAGGAAAATATGAACCATTCAATTCCGACCCAGTGGATGAATAGCAGCATGGTGGCCGTGAGAGCTGACGGTCCTGGGTTCCAACCCTGGTAGGAACGTGAGTGCGCACTGCAATGGAATCCTATACTAAGAAGAAGCAGCCGTTCAGTGCCCCCGGGTTTTCATTGACTTTCTAACGGATGTCAATCCCTGGTGAATATTACTCTGGAAATTACAACTACATCTCCAGTAATAAAATGTAAAATATACAAGCAAACTTCACAAGTGCTCAGCTTTGGACAAGTGGACTCACACAAATCTCTCAGCTGGAATTAAACACTGAAAACTAACAGACCCTCTGATAAAGTGGAGAGTGGAACTCAATGTTAGTCCACAACAAGATTTTACGAAGTGTAAACATCTTATTCTGATGATGATTTATAACAAACTACCTAGCAATTTTATGATCAATTACCAATGTAATCAGTGAATTTTCTTCGCTATAGCACTAAACAGTGAAGATGACTAACCAGGTTTTCTGAAGTAGATTTCGGTTTTGCTGGGAATGAGTGTGCAAAATATGGTATTCCTAGGAGCCTGTAAATGAGGTATTGGATGAATTATCTTGGAATACGAATCACAAGTAAACAGTAATCATATATATATATATATATATATATATATATATATATATATATATATATATATATATATATATATATATATATATATATCATAAATACGTTACCATATAGTAGTAAGATATATCTGTACTCATCTTTGATTGGATTTCGGCTAACGACAAATGCGACACTGTCCCTCCTTGCGCTTGTTAGTGTTGTCCGAAAACAATTGATTGTCGAGGCAAAGTTGTGAGAAATGGTCATGCGTTGTCGCCTTGTTTTCATGTGGCGCCATAGATACCTCCAAGACGCTTTTTCATTCGGTTCAGACTATCCTCCTTAGCGTTTTAGTCGCCTGTTATTATGATTATATCTGAGCGTAGGCAAATTGACAGCTTTTGGTAGAGTTTATCCTTTGTATCATCAAAGTTGCAGTTATCGGAGATTATGAGCAAGCACAGGCTAATCTCATGACCCTTCCTAGTTTAAACAGATCTATTCAGTTGAACAGCACACAGATGGCTGTTGACTGATATCCGGTTGAGGAGTGCCTTTTATTCGCAGAAAACTAGTGTTGTGTGCACACCAACGAGTACCTGAAAGCTAGTAAATGAAAGTCCAGAAACTCCTAAGGGGAATTTCACAGGTTAACCACAACGGCCAGGTGGGATTAATTGAGTCTTGTGTACGTGCCTCTGAAACACAGAGTACATACATAGTTCAAGGTTTCGGGGCTTTGGCATGTGACATCTGTTGTCCGATTCGGTATAGAATTCGGGCGTTGAAATGAGTCTAGGAACGATATTTTGCTGGATTATATAGTCCACAGTGATCACTGTGTGAGGAATTTCGGAAGTTGTTAGAGGCTTAATAAATATACCGGGAATTTTAGACACTGAAGAAAACAAAAATAAGACAGGTGGCAGTCAGGTTGTGCACACTGCTGAAATCGTAAAACAGTCGACACTTCCCGTCTGTCCACACCGTAAAACTTTGTTCCGTAAGGTTCCTGACTGAGAAAGAGGATTAGTTTCGCGTACCCACACAACCCATGTGACATCTGCTTGACGTTGGTTACACACCACCCTTTTAATATTGTTGCACTCAGAATTGACTGTGGGAACATCAAAGAAGAAAACCCCAAACCGTTGGCACCAGAACACTGAAGAAGAGAGAACATCCACATGACACTGCTGATCATTTTTGGAAAACACCTTACTACTGTCAAATTCCAACCAGCCAGCAGTACGGCTTCGCCGTTATACCCTTTCTCCATCACAGTTATTTATGTTATAAAGGTAACCGCTTTTTGTCGCACTACCATCCAAAAAACCCTTCTGACATGGCAGAACCCCAAGGAACAAATGTTTTCGACGGTGTATCTTATAAGCTCATTATGATATACAAGCCTGACCAACACGTTAGGGTAGCAATAATAGGTCATGCTGAATTTCAACATTTCTCTATCATACACAAACCACCCGTGCAATACAGCATAATACACAGCATAAAAATGAAACGCATGATAAAAGTTCCCAAAACCGTCCGACAGAAAATGGAAAAGAGAGAACATGTAAACCTACACGCCAGCGAGTTATGGTTGAGTACGTATGTAAAACTCACAACTAATCAATACGAGAGGCAATATTGAGTGGTACAAGAAGACAATTCGTTTCAAACTTAAAGCTAATCTCTAGATGTCGATCAAGTTCATGCATCCCTAACCCAAACGTTAATCCTGTCGGAATCTCACTGTTAAGTTTTGGTTTTGTTTTCCCATCCACAGCTGTCACTTCTTTTAAGTCCATGGCCAGTTAAAAGAATTGAAATATGAATAATTTTAAGGTGCTACTCTTGCTTAAAATATTGTTAACTTTCAAAGATCTAGGTAACGAATAAAGCGAAATACAGCTCAACACTTAGAAATCGATTATCGCACTATGCCATCTGATTGGTGTTCTGATTCTCAGTGACTATGTTTATCAGGAGAAGACCAATTAACGGAATGACGTCAAGAAATAAACTGATAGGCAAGACATATTACTGAAATAAATCTCAGTACTGAGTACAAACACCGGAGTCTGCCTTTGTTTGCATGGTTATATTGCGTTCCTGATAATCGAAACCCTGTTGACGTGTAGTTTCAGCTGTTTGCTGTCCTTGAGAATGACAACTGTACGTGTTTGAACACTGATAATTAAAAGTATCTCCAAAAGAGACGCTTGGGTTAGCAAGAACGATTTTTGTGAAAAGGTTTCCGTTTCATCACAGAAATATTTGCAGCGTCAACCCAGAAATTTGAGCTTTCATTTTTCGAAGGTTTAGAAAGAAGTGGAAGGATCAAATGTGATTGGACAACATATTCATGCGCGTCATATTATTACATGACTGGTGAGATTATCTTTAATTCCATTAAATAAGTTTTTTACCAGTTTTTTATTCCACTTAGGACTCACATATCATGGTTGTTTCAATAATCAACTACAAAACTGGTATAGTACTAAACATTTATACCTTTAATTACCGAACTAAAATATGGAAGCATTTCCTCTCACAGAATCCTACGCATGTACGTATGGTGAATGTACCCTGTTATGTGTCTAAAGCTAAATGATAAATAATGACCCGAAAACTCCCTAAAAGAAGTCAAACTTCGCTATATTTTTATCAACCTCCTTCCTTTCCCCTTCATTCTTTATCTTAATGCTTTATATTTCAATGTGCTGATATGCAACATGGCACTTTGGAAATTTATGCAACACCGTTAGGTTATACTTTTATAATGACTGATTGATATTTCATGCCAGAGCGATAATCTGTATGATTACTATACTTATACAAGTGAAACTCTAGTAGCCCTTTAGAAAAAGCATTGATATCCGCAAGCAATGTTTTAGGCGATAGGAAAGCTTATTTGAGGCTCTTCCGTGACGCTCATTGATTTATCTAACATGTTTAACAAATGCTTTTACCAGTGGACCATTTTTATATAAATTATTTCTAAAAATTTCAACGGAATTTTTCGTGACACAATACGAAATATATCTGTCACTGAGCTCCAAACTTATTGAAATATTGTTTGTGGTGATCAGTTCTAATCCATGAAACCGCTGGCCAAAAGACGCTGATATTATGGATATCACGTCATACTATGGTTTCAAGAATCCAATAAGCTCTTTTTAAAAAGTACATCTTATTTGTAAAAATCAATCGAAAAAATCCCTGATCTACAAGATCATAACATCTTACCAGAATGAATTGCAATTTCGGCCTCAAGCATGTGTCAACATTTTGGTTCTAAACGTGCACAGTTTCTAGGAAACCTAAAGAATACACGTTAAGAGAATAACAGATCTATGTCATCCAATTTTTTTAGATAACATGTATCAGCAGCTAACAACGTGATTTGAATTGAAACATAACAAGCTGTAGGAAAAACTAAAAGGTTTGTCAAAGTGTTGTTCTTTCAGCAAGACTTCAAATCAACATCATGCTATAGAGAATAGTCGTAAGAAGAAATATTCAGTCTAATTCTTGCTAAAACTGAGGCATTTCTTCCGCATCAAGGTCTATTCATTAGATTTTGGTTCACATATCTAGTGCATCGGAAGAAATGGAATCACAACGCAACGATATCGTCCATTGTAGCTCATAAAGCTGGCAAATATTCAAACGATAAATTTCAGTGATATAATAGAAATTCAACTGACGTTTGGCCAATAATACACGAAGTAGTTCACCTCAAAAATAGCAATTAAAATAAAACCTTCAAAGTTCTCACCTTTACATAGCCAACTGGATCCAGGAGTATGTTTTCTGGCTTTAAATCCCGGTATATTAATTCCAGATAGTGCAAGTACTCAAGAGCAAGTATTACTTGACTGGCATAAAATCGTGCAGCGGACTCACTGAAAGTGGAAACATATTCTACCTTGATTGCTTACCTGAATCTTCCTTTTCTTCGCAGATATGAAAACATCTCCCCGCCAGGTACGTACTCAAGTCCAAGAAACAAATACGTTTCGTTCTGTTTTCTAACATACAAAGAAAATATACAAACCTTGAAACTGTATTCCAGATGAATCAGGAATGGGAAGTCGACCGCCTGCAAAATGCGCTTTTCATTCATTGTGTGCTGAATTTGTTTAAGTTTTACGATCTATCAAGATAATTATTTACCGATGAACCAGATTTCATACCTTAGCTTTATCAAGAATCTTCAAAGCGAGAAAGTCGGAAGACTTTTTGTGCTGTACGAGCATAACTCGGCCAAACGATCCTGTTCCTAGTGTCCTAAGCTGTTTGAACTCATCTAAGGTGGCATTCCTCTTCAAAAATTATATGGTATTTAACTTTACATTTGTTGGATTATTATACTTCTCCAGATAGTTTCGCTTAGCTGACTCCAAGTACTCAGTAACTAGAAAAAATATCACGGATGAATCCATCGTACTTTCTTCCGAAATACACTTTTTCGGAGAATGAGAATTTCCCATGAATTGAAAACAACTAGCGAGAACAAAAATTAATTTCATAACACGCGGCTTGAATATGCACCTTGAAAAAATGATAATATTAAACATGTTAAACAAATTTCCTGTTTCAAGTATTCCCTGATACAATAAGCTCTGAGAGGAACATCTTCATTCAGCCGCGAAGTTGGAACTTAATCAACTCATAGATGGCTTGTGTGCTGAGATGACTGGCCCACGACATGCTTCTGCAGACTAAAAATCTGTTGAAAACGAGGGGTTTCCAATCGAAACTAAATTGGTAGAATTAGCAAGTGTATGATTTACAGCCTTTTAAACGATTGCAATGTCAAGGATAGCAGAACTGGAGAATCTGTTACAGAAAAAAATTGTATTTTCCGGTCCTAGGTAAGCACCGTCCGCAAACACGTGACACATTGTTGAATGACGGTCCATTTCCGATTAGATTCAGATTTTTTGTTTGAGGATAGGAGGCTAGGAGCCTATATTGATCCTTTTCCAGTAGATTTCTGTGCCCTTCCAATCCCCTTCTGAATGAGTCAATTGATGGTGCGGACACCACTTCTTCTGGGAGTCGATTCCAGGCGTTGATTACCCGACGCGAGAACCAGTACTCTGCGGAGACTATGTTCGTTCCTTGCTTTCGTAGCCTCCTATTATACCCTCTGAGGTGTTCCGACCTGGTGGGAAGGAAAAGAGAAGATAGGTCAGGTCCGAAGTCATTTCTTAGAATCCTGTGTAGCATGATTAGGCCTCTCCCTTGTCTGCGGTAGGACAAAGTGGGGGGGGGGGGTTCAGCATCTTAAGACGATCTTCATAGGTGAGGCCAGCCATCGCGGGGATCGTATGAGCGCCTACCCCCTGAACTCTTTCTAGAGGGTCTGCGTCACCTTTCAGTCAAGGATTTGCCACCTGTGTACAGTTTTCTAATTTACACCTAAGAATGTGTATAAGGTGGTGAACATGCCACCACCTATCTTCGTAAACGTTCTACGTGATGCCTACAGAGTCCTAAAACTCCGAGCTGCTACCAATCGACAGTGAGCCGTGGTTTTCAAGTCATAACTCACCGTGACTCCTAGGTCGTTGTGGGTCAGTACTGACGGTAAAGGAGTCCCACCAATATCGTAGGTGTTGCTGTGTGTCTGCCCCAAGTGCATGCTCACACATTTACCTGTACTGATAGGCATCAGCCACTTCTCTGACTGGGCAAACAAGCTGTTCGGGCCTGCCTGAAGTGCACGTATATCCTCATTGTTCCTAATTTCCCGCCAGATATTTAAATCATCAGCGTGGAGAACCGTAGGGACCCAATGATATTTGGCAGCTCGTTTGCGCACAGTAGGGGGGCCAGGACTGTGCCTTATGGCACTTCACTCCCTACCGACTTCCAGGTGGAGGGTCGAGAATCGATCCTAACCCTTTGTCTCCTGCCAGCAAGAAAGTCTCTTATCCATGCGGGCAGACCGCCAGTGATCTCAAATCTTCCCAGTTTTCCGAGCGACCTGGAATGAGGTGTTTTGTCGAACGCCTTACTGAAGTCAATGAAAATGACGTCTACAGGTGTCCTATCATCTTTAGACTTAACCTCACTTTCCCTGGCTGTAAGGAGGTTCATCAAGCAAGGGAAATTTCTACGAGAGCCACGCTGTGAACGAGACAATACAGTGTTGCTCTCTAGGTGGACTATGATAGCTTTCTGATCATTCTTTCTAGGATTTTCACCACGGTAATGGTCAAACCTATCAGTCTGTAATTTGATGGGAGCTGCCTAGAACCTGCCCTGTGGATAGGCATCCTCCCAGTCGTAGGGGAGTGAGCCTTCACTGAGAGACAGTCTGAATATGGTAGTCGATGGGCCGGCTACATAGAGTGCAAGTGCTCTGAGCAGCCTTGGGTACACCACATCCGGTCTCATTGATTTTTTTTACATCCGAAATACATCATTACGATCAACACCTACAGAGTTTATTCTGTTGGGTATCAATGCTTCTACTGTTGGATAAGCGCCCACAGAAGGTTCCTGTGTGAAGACCTCAGCAAAATATCCAGCCACGGCCTCCGCTTTTTCCCTATTGTCCTCTTCGGATGTTACAATGCAGCGTGGGCAAGACGTGTTTCAAAGCATATTCAAGACCGGCGGATAGCAGCGATACATTTATTTCGGGCCTTTTGCAATGCTTCACCACTTCTGGTGTGCTGAGGTGGGTGGCAAGACTGCAACACTTTTCTCTACGTCGTAGCACGGTTGGGATTTCGTGGTGTATCCACGGAGGACAGTGTTTCCGTCCCCTCGGGACAGTCCACGGAGTGAATGGTTGGGCCATTCGTGCATATAACCGTTTGAAGGAGCACCATGTGCCTTCAACTGAGGCTTCTGGACTGCCGTTCAGTCCTCCGAAGAGGCTGTCAGGTTAGCAGGTTGCATATTTGCTTTCCAAGTGTTGGGCCCAGGTGGGGCATCAACCTGGTACAAGACGTTTGCTCCAAATTCGAAGATTATGACAGCGTGATCACTTTTACCGAGAGGTGCTAGGTGTCGGATGAAGCACACATCATCTGTATGTGAGAATGCTAAGTCTAGAACTGATAGAGCATGCTGATGATCATAACTGGTTGGTGTCTTATTGTGCTGTATGAGGGCTAAGGAAATTGATGTTTCAACTAACCTGTGGTCAAACAAGTTACGTGGTGCTTTTGTTGTTAGTCTATCCTAGTCAGCTGGTGGTGCGTTGAAGTCTCCTACAACTAGGCGTCGGCATTTATCTGTCCAGAGGGTCAGCTTATTCAGGAGGAAGTCCGCCGCCTCACAATCATGGCTTCGATGTATTACGATTACGTTAACATCTAGCCCTTGGATTTTAGTCGGCAGCATTGCACACGCCCCACTTTCATGCGCAACTGTTTCCACGGCTTAATGTAAAGGATGACACCAGCACCCTTTCGTGGTAACCTATCACTTCTAAAAGGGGCGAATCCTTGTAAGTGTGTTTCACAGTCACTGACCCAAGGGGCGAGCTGAGTTTCTGAGATAGCATTGGTGTCACAGCTTTCGTTGCTTATCGCACCACTAAGCTTGGTCCGCCTGTTTAAAAGACCACGTGCACTTCTGTACAGGACAACGAAACTAGTTGTGTGAGTTTTCGTCCTATCCATAGAGGCTTTGGCATCATTGCTTTCCAAAACCTTACCACTCGAAAATCCACTGCTTTGAGATCTTGCCCTCCAGCTGCTAATCTGAACTTCAGTTCTGCTTCTGCCTCTCGTTTTTTGACTCCATCAGCAACAGCCAGATCCCTCCGCACGAACGCTGTAGACACTTGAGGTCTGTGAGCATTCTTCAGAATCTGATTCCTCTCATCCACTGACTTGAACACGACTTTAAGCAGCCGAAACTTATTTTCAGTAATGACTGTTTCTCGTTTTCCTACTTTATATATCTCCAGTAGAGTGACTCCTAACCCTAACTGGGTGGATTTCTGTAGTTCCTGCTACATTGTGGGCGAAAGGTGTCACAAAAATGCTTGTCCCAAGGTCGGGCGCCACTTCACATTGGCCTCTGGTATGCAATGCAGCGGATGTATGAGTTGGCTCTGCGATAACTGCACAAGCCTCGCGCCCTCAGCATATAGGAGGTACAGCAAAGCAGCAAGTGTCTGGCCTTGTACGTTGTGCTGCTAGGAAACTCACACTCTAGCAGAAGTAAAAGCACTTCTAAATACAATGGCTTCGGAATTGTCGTCGAAAGTCAAAGCCGGCATGGATAAGAGACTTTCTTGCTGGCAGGAGACAAAGGGTTAGGATCGATTCTCGACCCTCCACCTGGAAGTCGGTAGGGAGTGAAGTGCCATAAGGCACAGTCCTGGCCCCCCTACTGTGCGCAAACGAGCTGCCAAATATCATTGGGTCCCCTACGGTTCTCCACGCTGATGATTTAAATATCTGGCGGGAAATTAGGAACAATGAGGATATACGTGCACTTCAGGCAGGCCCGAACAGCTTGTTTGCCCAGTCAGAGAAGTGGCTGATGCCTATCAGTACAGGTAAATGTGTGAGCATGCACTTGGGGCAGACACACAGCAACACCTACGATATTGGTGGGACTCCTTTACCGTCAGTACTGACCCACAACGACCTAGGAGTCACGGTGAGTTATGACTTGAAAACCACGGCTCACTGTCGATTGGTAGCAGCTCGGAGTTTTAGGACTCTGTAGGCATCACGTAGAACGTTTACGAAGATAGGTGGTGGCATGTTCACCACCTTATACACATTCTTAGGTGTAAATTAGAAAACTGTACACAGGTGGCAAATCCTTGACTGAAAGGTGACGCAGACCCTCTAGAAAGAGTTCAGGGGTAGGCGCTCATACGATCCCCGCGATGGCTGGCCTCACCTATGAAGATCGTCTTAAGATGCTGAACCCCCCCCCCCACTTTGTCCTACCGCAGACAAGGGAGAGGCCTAATCATGCTACACAGGATTCTAAGAAATGACTTCGGACCTGACCTATCTTCTCTTTTCCTTCCCACCAGGTCGGAACACCTCAGAGGGTATAATAGGAGGCTACGAAAGCAAGGAACGAACATAGTCTCCGCAGAGTACTGGTTCTCGCGTCGGGTAATCAACGCCTGGAATCGACTCCCAGAAGAAGTGGTGTCCGCACCATCAATTGACTCATTCAGAAGGGGATTGGAAGGGCACAGAAATCTACTGGAAAAGGATCAATATAGGCTCCTAGCCTCCTATCCTCAAACAAAAAATCTGAATCTAATCGGAAATGGACCGTCATTCAACAATGTGTCACGTGTTTGCGGACGGTGCTTACCTAGGACCGGAAAATACAATTTTTTTCTGTAACAGATTCTCCAGTTCTGCTATCCTTGACATTGCAATCGTTTAAAAGGCTGTAAATCATACACTTGCTAATTCTACCAATTTAGTTTCGATTGGAAACCCCTCGTTTTCAACAGATTTTTAGTCTGCAGAAGCATGTCGTGGGC